TATCGCTCTTTGTGTGTCACAGTCTCCCAACTCCATGTTCTCATCTACAGACTCCTGTGAGAGCTGAATGACCCAAGAAGAGCATTAGACTGGACTTTAGGTAGAAATATTAAGAAGATGAGGAATGAGTGAAGGACACATATGTTGGACAAATACAGATATCGGTTGCAAGTTCCAAGAGGAGTATTCCCGTGTGCAGAGGTTTGAGGAGAAAGAGCATCCTCAGAGGCTTCATCATTAGCCCTGTATTTGTTCTGTCACACAACTGCTACAATAGTATTATCTCATGCCTACCTAGGGTTGGCTGTGAGCCAGGACAGTGTGTGACAGATGAGGTCACTGAGTAAGATGACTTGGGATACTGAGGGTCCATCTGGTTCTCCAATTGTGTGCTTCTTCTACATTATGGGTGTGGACTCTGAGCAACAACAATATGACAGGGTATCAACATTTATGAAAGACAGGAACCTGTCTCACTTGTGGGAATAAGGAAGAAAATGAGGAACAGTGCAGGCTTACTAATCAGAAAGCTAGAACTCAGGACCCAAGTGTGACAGGAAGCTAGTTCCTAATGTGAGACTTAAAAATACAGGAGTAGAATTTGGTGGGGAGTTTGGCCTAGGGAGTTGAGGTAGGGTCATGCAGATATGTATTTCTTCTGATCATTGTAGGCCTCATGTTCGCTCCTTCCAGACTGACTATAGAATGTCAAAGTCTGTGTTAACCACAATTTAATAATCAAAGGAACTATGTATCTACCCACCTCATTTATTAAGACAAGGTTGACTCCCTACATGCAAATTCTTCTTCTTCTAGCAGGTGGAGCTCAGACCTAACCAAGCACAGGAACTCAAAGCAGGGAAAATTTTGTGGGCAGATACACTGACCTGGGTCTGTGTTTTGTGATCTCCTCCTACAGAATGTCATAGAAATGGGAATCTAACCCAAGGTAGATATTGAAACACAGTGCCTCACGCACGTAGTGAAAAATAACTCAACAGTGTCTATTTGTTGGGAGCCCCTTACAACCTGCAGTTGACAGCTGTATCTCCATGTCTATGAAAAAACTCTACCTCACTTACCCATATCCCAAAGATCAGGAATATATAAACAAGGTTACAGTATGAGATTTAGAGGAATGAAGGAATGGATAGACATCCATTATGACAAGTCAAGCCCCACAGGATTTGATTTGTCTGGTATTAGAGTACTGATTTTTGGAGACACAACTTCTATTTGTAGGGATATCTTCAAGAGCCAACAGTTAAAATCTGAACCACCTGCCTTGTCTTACTTTGCAATGACATGGAAAGTAGACTTCAGTGTCAACACAGATACACACCTATCTATCTGTGTTCAAAACCAACATAGAGAATGAAGAACTACTGAGGCTGCTCAGAACTATCAGTCATCCCTTAGATTATAGGATGTTGGGGACTGCCCCGTGTGTTTCCTCACAAACAGGCTTGTGACTATTTAAATGTTAGAACAATTCTTTAGAGACCCTTTGCAATGTCATATACTATGGCAACTAATATTTTGTTTCTAATAAGTGTGTCATCTCTTACCTATGGATCATATAAAATAATTATCTGGCACCTTACATCTGATGGAATAATCACAAGAAAAAAACTTTCCCTATTTTTCAAACAATGTCTGTAATTTTAAGAGTTGGTGATGGTTATTACCTCAACTGGAATTCTCAGGGACTTCTAAATTGTTTGAAAACTATTCTCTTTCTTTTACAACATCTGGACGAGAATCAGACCTTCCAGGAATTAACAATGTTTTCCGAAGTTGTTGGAAAACAACTTGTCTAGATTTCAGGTTTCCAATATGCCAATGTCTGTCACAGGCTACATGTTATTATTTTTCACCAGATGATTTTTTTATTTGAACCCTTGTAAAGATTACTTTCTGATTCAGTGCCCCATGTAGTGATTTATTTTAAGGTGTTTCATGAACACTTTGCTTGTGGAAATATCTGAGTGACCATTGGGCAGATGCCAGGTGATGTCATCTACAGTCTCTGTTCTAACTGCCTTCCATTGGCAACAAAGTTCCTTTGCACAGATATGTCCTTTCTACTGGTGTTTTCTTGTTAACTATGATTGCATGCTTACTGCAAAGGAACTCTATTGCTGCGATGGTAGGAAAGCTGGGTGTTTGTCAGAGAGTTAGAGAAGCATATTTGGGAGAAGTGATGGTTGGTGTTTGTTCAGAGTTATCAACCACAGATTTCAGCACCTGAAAATGGTATAGAGAATCTACTCTTTGGGTCAGAGCCTTCTCTCAATACTATTATAGTAACCTCAGATATTTGTGAAGAAATTTGAGAGAACAAATGTATTATGGAGTATTAGATTAGTGAGAAAATGACAAACAACTCATTAAGTAGTACAAGATGAAGGTGACAACAAAGGGATTCACTCTCTGTTCTCTAACACCAGGGTGAGGCACAGCAGACATTCTTGCCATAGACAAAGGTGACCACAGTAAGCCTCCAGGTTGAGCACACTCTGGCCACCAGGAATTTGTGCATTAATTTCTGAATACATCCCATGTATACTGAAGAAAATAGATAAATGTATGAATAATTTTAATGAATGAACATGTTTTGCTAGATTTGGGCAAATTAGTCTTTGACAAAGATATGGGTCCAGTTAATGCAAATCTTGCAAGAACCAGTATTTACTTACTAAGCTCAGTTTGTCTGATTATGGTCAGTGAGAACAGAATCTTAACCAGGCCAGGGATGAGGAGCCACAAGAAAACTGATACTGTGATGAGTTCAACTCAAGAGATTGGACATTGTAAACTCTTACCAGAAATAGAATATAATTACTTTTGACAAGATTAATACAGCGGTATTTTTGAGGATACAAATGCCATTTTTCATTTTCACAGGGTATAAAAGATTATTATGTAGAAGGTATTTTCCCATCTTTTTCTCATGGGACTGGTTTTCTCTCCTACCACTGGATTCAACAGGTCCTTACAGAAATAACATAACTGAGACTTAATACCAGTTAGAATAGTTTAACCAATGTCTTAGGCTTCTCAATGGCTAGATTTCTCTTATCATTAACACATTCCCATGGGTCTGTGTATCTGCATGTTGCCTATGCTTACCAATGATGCCCTATTCATTTGACTCCCTGGCTGCTACATGGTATCTGCATTTTCTCTTCCTTCTCCCTGACTATTTGTTTGGCATTAGAGCCTAGCTAAATTATGCCTATCCATTGGACAAAAAACCTTTATACATCAACCAATAACAGAAACATATATTCATACAATATAGAAGAACATCCCCCATGATTATTGTCTAAGGCAATTTTCCTACCACACTTCTACATGTTTCATAGACTCCTAGGGAACATAGAGGAACATGGATTTCTTGAAGCTTCACTGACTGAAGGAATTTATCAGTTTCTCAGGGACTGAAAGGCCCACTGTGCTCCCGCAATCAAGGACTCTTATGTGTGCCATTCAACACAACTAGACCAGATCAACACCATGATTCCTCCTGTAGAGCCAAAGATGACCTATAACTTCTGATCCTCCTTCCCCTACTTCCTCAGCACTAGGATTGGTCTATCTTCTAGGGAGCTACAGATTAAAAGCAGGGCTTCATGCATGCCAGTTGACATTCAACCAACTGAACCAATTCAAAGACCCTAATATTTTTTTCAAATTAAATTACAAATGTTTATTATTAGTAATTGTTTACGTGTTCATACGCAGAGTCATGAAATGATACATATGTGGCAACCATAGGACAACCTCTCTCATTCTACTGTGATTTGTCGGAGAATAGAACTCAGGGAATCTGGCTTGTCAGCCAGAAATTTCCGAGGAGTACATGCGTGTAGAGAGAAAGTGGGTGAGTTTAATATATTCTTCAAACTCACTAAACTGTATAACAGAACTTTAACACCTTGTTGTCCTTTATCCATATTCTAGGGTTACAGGTATATGACACTATGTCTGGTCTGTAATTGGTTTGAAGTGACAACTCCAGGTGGAAATACAGCCAAATGGAAGAGTGCTTTCTTAGCATGTACAAGCAAATGATTTATAAAAAACAAAATTAAAAAAAAGAACTTCCGTGTAAGCCAAGGCATGTCTGCATGCAGGGAAGCTCAGGACAAACAGGGGGCAATTTGGAGCCAATAACCAATGGGATGAAAATGAGATGGAGAGGAAGGGCATACAGGGGACAACATAGCCTCTATGAACATGCTTTTTATAGGCTATTAGATGAACAAAACCTGCTAGAGTTGACATGAGAAGTCTCCATATTCAAACACAATAAAAGTTCCTCGTTAAATATCACTCACATTTTAATTTTATAATTTATTTCACTAAGATTTATTTATTCATTTTGATGTTTTTTGAAAAACATTTTTCCATGTTATATTCTGATCATAGATTCTCTGCCCAACTGCTCTCTAGTAGAGCCTACCATCCCAAGTTCTTGCCACACAACTCCACAACATTCTTTCTCTTTATAGAAAGCAAAGACAAAGACAAGGATTTTACAAAGTAAATAGGCAAGTGGAACACACAAGCAACATGCTCAACAGCAAATATTAATAGCTTATATATGAAAGAAGATGGAAAATTCTCCTAATTTATGAGTTGTGAAATTTTCCAATCAATCACAATTATTCTTATCACTACAACTGCCTATAGATCCATTTTGTCACAAAAGGACCAAATATGCCATGTTGGGATTTTATTTATAAATTGATGGAAAAAATCTTTAATGTTTCTACAGGTTCTGCCTGCAGAGATTTCATGAATAGCTGCTTCCTCAGACAGAATGAAGATTTTGCCCTCAGCATCTGCTGCCTTACTCAGGTGTCCTCTTACTCCTTCTGCTCCATGTGCACTAGGTCCTTATGTAAGAAGCACCCTGCTCATGAATATGCAAATAATGTGATTCTGTGGTGATGAATACAGCGATGTCCACACCACCAATAAAACATGATCAGTGTCCTCTCCACAGTCACAAAGCACACAGGTCCTCACCATGGAATGCAGGTGGAGCATCCTCTTCTTGGTGACAGCGGCCACAGGTAAGTGCTCCAGGACACAGACTTGAGGAGGGTCATGCACTCAGCTGACAGTGACATCTTATCTGCCTTTCCACAGGTGTCCACTCACAGGTCCAGCTGCAGCAGTCTGGGCCTGAGTTGGTGAAGCCTGGGGACTCAGTGAAGCTTTCCTGCAAAGCTTCCGGCTACATCTTCACTAGTTATGTTATAAGCTGGGTAAAGCAGAAGACCGGACAGGGCCTGGAGTTGATTGGATGGGTTTATCCTGGAAATGATGGTACTAGTTACAATCAAGACTTCCAGGGCAAGGCCACAGTGACTGCAGACAAATCCTCCAGCACAGCGTATATGGAGCTTAGGAGCCTGACATCTGAGGACTCTGCAGTCTATTACTGTGCAAGAGACACAGTGTTGCAACCACAGCCTGAGTGTGTCAGAAACCCTTGGGGAGCAGGAAGCTGCCTTGGGCCTGAGATAATAGAGAGGATCATCCAGGGACTCACTCAGAAATAAGAATTCCTATTGTCTTTGTCTTCTTCATCCTTGTGGTCCTATCTGTTTTAAATCTAATTTTTAAAATCACAACTTTAAATAAATTGATATGAATTGTGTTTAACCCTATAATGCATTCATTCTTGACATTATCTCCATTGTGACCACAAGCATTGATCTTTTCCTTAATAAAGCAGTGCACAAAGGAAAGCTGTGATACTGCCCAGTGAAAAAAATATATCTGGATTCTGAAAGACAGGTAGTTTGGATAGAGTAGTCATGAATACAATATAGTATGATTTTTACCATTCATATCTTCAGAAATAATATCTGATGAAGGGCAAACTCCTCTCTCAGTCTTAAGTAATCTGATTGTGTGTTTTTAATCTCAGTCTGTGTCCTCTAGCAGAAGTTCCCATCTCATGGAATCATAGAATGTAAGGGATATTTACATCACAATGCAGTGTCAAATTTGTATAAATATTGCAAATTGATCAAAAGCATTATTGAATTATTTCTCATAAAACTCATTTATCAGCTCATATATATATATATATATATATCCAAAATGAATTCACATATGACATGACTCATTGTATAATGGTGTTCACCTCATAACCAGAGAGGATCTGCACTTTTTCTCTGCCAATAAATTGCTCCTTTTCTTGTTTCCTATTTTTTCTATGCAGTTTTATAAATTCATGTAATTAATTTTAGTCACCTTCACTCTCACTGTCCTTCTTTGTCTTCCTGCCCCTCCTCTTGTGAAACACATTCTTTTCTTCAGTGTGTCTAACTCTGTGTCTCATTTCATCCGTGACCCATTGAATTTAATTTGCACTTCATGCCTGAGTGTTTTTGGGATTGGTGTCAACATGCCACTTAGCTATACCAAGCTATAGTATACATCCTGTTAACTATTCCACTGAGAAAACTAGTTCCCTATTTCTTAACAGTCGGTGTTGGTCAATGATCTTTCAGAAGCTTCATGGCTCTGCCCCTGTTTATGATGATAGAATATCCATCTAAAATTCATGACAGAAATACAAGCAAATATTTTGAAATAAAGTTGACATTTCCAAATACATATATACAGCCATAACATCCATAAATGAGGTCACTTGTGTCTCCATTAATGGAAATACAGAGAATACTAATGTACTGAAATACAAAAGCACGATTTCACCATTCCTTATTGTGACACAAACATACTAAAAAATGAGATATATAGAGGTGTGAATTATGGTAAGGACAAAAATGACACCTGACATTCACACAGGTGCCACCATAGCTTTGCTCTGTATTACACTGCAGCAGACACAATGAACAGGTTCTCTCTGTGATCTAAAACATCCTTAATCTGAGGATGCTCATGACCAGCAGGGGGAGCTGTAAACCTAACTTTCACCAGAAAAGAAAATTTACTAAGTGTAAGAAACATCTGGATACTAAGGGAGTCCTCTGAGACCCTAAGACTTCCTGGTCCGACCTCAAATAGCTGCAGAGACCGTAAAATACACATGACATAACAACTGTTACAAGATTCCAAATTTATTTGAGTAAAAATTCGTTGAAATTATATGTTTTAGTGACTGCATGGGAATCTTATTGGAAGGACACACATCCATTGAACAAACATATAAGAAGGCCACATATTTTCAAACATAAGGAGTCAGACATCCAATCATCGTCATCACAGCCATCAGCACAGTAAGTCTATCTACATCTTTCCACTGTCAGGAGGGGCTTTCTCTCCTGGAATAGTTGTCTGTGACTTGAGATTTCAGACCTTGATTTTCTAGCCACACTATTGAGTTCATGTAGCTCTGCTGTGAGAGACCTGGTCTCAAAGTGTGATACACTGCCATGTGCATCCCTCAGCTCAGGGGAAGGCAAGAGGGAGAAGTTGGGGATAATCACAGAATCTATCATTCACTGCAGTGAGTATTTCATCTCTGTTTTTTATCTACATATTTTTCTAAAAGGAAAAGTATTTAGTCATATTGGTTATACCTAGCCTAATATATGATTTTTGTCACTTGGGAAAATAGTTTAGAAGAAAGTACATTAAATACATTCTCTCACAATTCAGTCGGTGTCCCTAAGGTACAGAAGATGAGACATCCTCATTCCTACACCACTCACTCTCCCTCACACGTGAATTCTGATGTTTTGTATGTTATCCTGATACACAAGGCCCCTCCATCTGTTCACAGCTCTCTGGAACTCAGCTGGGATCAGCTCCATCATAGTCCCTTCTCGTATTCAAAGGATGAGAGTCCTTCAGTCTGGTGTATGTACCAAAACAGTCCTGATGTTCAGATTCACTCCCAGAACATTTACTTACTGGTTAAGCTCCAGTGTGGGTTTTCTAGAATTTCAGCCTACTATTGAAATTCGCAAATTATTGTTGATTTCGATAAAGGGATTCACTTTGTTTCCTTTTTTCCAGGCCCAAGTACTAATGGCTGGATGACATTGCATCTCATGAAATTAGATCCTGGCTCTGGTAGCAGAGTTTATATATCACCTAAAGGAATGTCTGGATGCTGCTCTCCTCCACATATATGTCGTATCCCCTTACTCATATCATAAAATGTAGAATGTTGTGCTTAAATGAATCACAAAATGGCACCATCGTTCACAATCCAGGTCTTGAGAATTTCTAAAGGATGGATTGGTGGTTCTACTTTATCTAAGAGTTGTTCCCTCTGAAGATCTTCTCCCCTCATGTTTTTTGGGGATGAAAAGAGCAAAGTTGGTCTTGCCTACAGCACATAATGGAAACACCCTACATAAACTCCTAACTTGTCTATGTCCCAGGTATTTTGCAATCTATAAAGCTGTTCATGGAAATGTTCTGTATGGATGAGTTAATCTGCTCCAATTTTAGAGTAATATCATCACATTTTCATTTCTCATTGGCAGGTAGCTTAGCATTCACCTTTATATAAAATCTTGTTAGATTAAATTTATGTATTTAATTTTTGGACTGCATAGTGCACAAATATCTGCACTTCTTGAGATTCAGACTTAAAAGTTATCGGCACACATATAATGGGTTGAGGGAAAATGTGTATGTCTACTGTAGCTGATATCACAGAGCATCACACTTTTATTCCCTTCATGTGTAATGTATCTGAAAGGCAATCATTGTTATTGGTTGGAAATGAAGCTCTCCCGTAATAAGACTGATGACACCCTTTCCCATATTCAAGAGCAAGCAGTCCTTGCTTCGCTGTCCCTCTGATCTCTGTGTACAAACCTGGAAATTTCATTTCTGTGTAATCCATTTCAGGATCTTTTTCTTCTTGTGGACTCTTCCTACTGCCTGCCTTTGATGAAGATGTGTGTGAGACGTTTGAATCTCTTGGAGACAATATCAGATGTTCTCCTATTTAAAGACACAAAATTTAATCATAGATCAAACGTCAGTATAATGCTGACAACCCCTTGAAAAGGAACCCAAATTAAGTGCAGCTCTCATTGACCATCTTTCCCTAAGTGTTCAGCACCTGAGCCCACAATCAGAATTGTGTACTTGGTCTCTTTTGACAGAGTTTCTACAACTGTTGTGAGTACATATTCATGCTTTAGACACATCTTAGCCTCTTTATCTTTTAAATGTTTTAAAATATGAAGGTGTTTTATTAATAAAAATGAGTTGATTGTGTTTGGTGCGCTTTTCTTTCATATGATCTGTACTCCACTCAAACACCTTTTCATTTATTACAAGTTACTGTGTAATTTGTGTAAAGTTAGACAAATCATTGATAAGGAAATACAAGTTTACACTTGATAAGGGTGTAGGTGAATTTTTGTTATGGAAAAGTATTTACAAGAGAAACTGGCAACCCAGGCTAGTCTCAGCAGCTTTCTGAGACCGGAACGAATCCCCAAAAAGAGAAATCATGCTTCTCTTTTAAGCCCTTTATTCCACACCCTGTACACACCTGTAACTACACCCAAAACAGGCATGGTCAGCAGCACAAGTGCCTATATCTTTCCCTCCAAATCACAGTCTTTATAAGTTCTAAAATATCAGTAGTGACAAGAACAAAGAAGAATATACATTGTTTGAACATCTCTGAAGCAGTGAAGAAAATCCTTGAGGCATGTGACCCATGAGTTCCAGCATCCTCCATCCTGCTGTGCCCTCTTCCAGTATTCTCAGTATTTGAGAGAACTGAGTGAATAAACCAGGACCCTTTCTACGTTTTCTATTTCCTGTTGCGATTTTCAAAGTCGTCAGAAATAGACTGCAGTAAAAAGATGAAGGTACTGTCATTTGAATACATATAAGTCACAAATACTCAAGGCAGGAAATTGACAGATTAATAAAGTCATTTAATATCACTCTCTTCAGTGCAATTGCAGAGTTCATAATTTTCAGTCAGAAGATGGCAGTCTGTGTACTTTTTTGAGGAAAAAATGCACTGGTAGGACTCACATAGGAAGCCTCTTCTGGCCCCAGTCACAGCGTAACACGAATGCAAGAGAAAAATCAACTCTGAGATCTTCATGTATTCTCCATGCAAAAATGCAGAATAATGGCCCCTGGATGAGTGACAGAGTCGGGACCCTTCAAGTTAGAGTGAGGGTCTCTCTCAAATTTGCTGTTTCTCATATCACGTACCAGAAGTGTATACTGAGTACCCTGGTCCTGGTATTATGTGTTACCCAGTCTCTGTGGGGAACAGACTTGAAATTCCCTAGTCATCCTTTGTACCTCATCACAGCCTGGCTCTCCCTAAGACCCAATATTTAAGTCCTCCATCACAGTCAGTTCCAGTTGAAGGAAATCTCTCATGGCTCCCCCCAAGCATAGGTTTAAAAAACAAATATGGCCCTGGTCATTCACTGGTGTGCAGCAGTGGCCCTATTTGCTTCCTCATACCTGCATGTGAGTGGCATGGATTCCTACTGCACGAACTCCCATAACTGACTCTGTGCTAACTTTATCTTCTATTTTGTTATCACCATAGATGTCCTGTCCCAGGTTACCCTGAAGAAGTCTGTGC